CTGTTACAAATCTTTCAACTGCACACATAACTATAATTTGTAATACTTTGTAAGTGATACATAACAGTTCTATTGTTTAAATACAGTTTCTTGCAATATAATTACTAGGCTATAATTATAAAAAAAAATAAAAACTAATAATAACACAAATAAAAACATAAGCAATACTAATTCCAACAATGGTCACTTACAAGGAGATGAATGTTGTAAATGGACGAACAACAGTGTATTGTAGAATACCATGTTTGCACATGTGAATAAACTCATGTCCCATCTCCCATGGAGTGAGACAACAGAAAGGGAAAAGATGATTAACTTGCGGTTTCATCTCCAGATTTGCTTCGAGTGTTAATTCTGAATTCAGGTAATTCAGTAGGTAAACCATGAAGTTGTAAATGACATACGCTTCATAGCATTCTCTCAGACTGTCTACGTAAATAGACTGTTCTGGAAAAACTAGTCCCAGCCACTGTCACAGAAATATAAAATGGACCAAATCACACACTCCCCTCATGGATGAACTTAAAATCTAAAATAACCCTGTACCTGGACAAAACCTATAATGTCAATACTTAAATATTTTTAAAAAGTCAATGACCAGTCAGGATTCTACACAAAATGCAGGATGTGACTTGGGTACCCTCATCATACCATGTTCCAAGATGTTCTTCATCCCATAGTGCTCTTTTGTATGCAGGGTTTGCTTGCTTTTCTTTTTCTCTCTTTTTGTTATGTTAGGTTCAAAGGAATATTCTGCAATTTACTATAATGGTATTTTCAGACCTACATTTACACAAGAACTAAAAAACTAAATACTGTGTAAGTATGAAAGATCCTGCTATAAAGTTCTGACAGAAAATGAAGTCTTAGATATCTGATTGTATTAAAAAATCAAAAATTACATAATTACTGCAGAACACAACAGCAAATGTATCATAGTACTAGTAAATAAGGGCTGTGATACTAGTATAAAGTAAATGCTGTACTTACAGCATTTACAGCATAAATGGGAACCATCCACAATATTCTGAAACAAATTACAGCACGAATTTTATAAAGCATAACCTTTTTTCAAAGTATGCTACAAGCGATGCAATTCCTTCACTTGTCCTAAAATTTATGTCTTGACTTGGTCTGAACGGATATTATTGACCCAGCATGGCAGAATGTGGCCAAAATATGTGTTCCTGTATATGCTGTGGACCAGTGCTGAACCACTACTTGACTGAAAACCTTACCCAGAAAACAGTTATGGACATGATTATTTTTCTTTTAGAGTTCCAATGTGTTAGTCCTGCTATATCAGGAGACTAAAATCTGAAAGTCATAAAGTAATAAATAGTATGAAAACAGTTTAACACTGGAAAATCTGAGAACAATAATAACAGTCAGACATTTGATTCATAATAACATCACGAAAATTATACATTCAGAAAATGCTTTTTACTATTCACTTCAAACAGAATTACAATACCATTACCAAAAACACTAACTAATAAATAAACAAAGTTGTTTTGTATGGCTGTGAAATATGGTGGCATGCTTTCCAGGAAGGATACAAATTGAAAGCATGTTAAAACAGTTCTGAGTCAAACATTTTTACATACGAGGAATGAAGTGGACAATTCAGAATGTTACATAAGAACAAACTCTGTGATATATACAGTTCAAACAGTATTGTTAGGGTAATGAAAAATAGGAATATACAATCGGCTAGGCATGTAGCTTAGGTGGGAAAGATGATAAATACAAGCAGATTTCTGATGATTACTTCTTGAAAAGCAGCCATTTGAACAGTATTTCAACATAAACAACTTCCACTTATCACGCAAAAAAGAAAAATTAAAGAGACTGTCATTACTCCAGCACACATCCTCACTGATGTATATGTTCAAGGTGAACAAAATGAAACGAAAGACTATGGTGCTGAAAGTCACTTTCAAGAAATCATGCTTCAAACGGCTATGCCACACCCATACAAAAACTGCATTCCTTCGAAGATAACATAAGCTGTTCAATGTCATAAACTACTCCCATTACAAACTAAAAACGGGCAAACAATCCTGTAGCTGACAAATAACTGTGTGTTCTAACAAGCTGGAGTGTGGCAAAAGTTATCTTCCGAAATATTTCACAATGTCTTACCTAATAATATGTTTCTGAAGAGAAGGCTTTGTGTAGTGAACCATATGCTGTGTTATTTCCCAAAATGATATAGGTAACGCCATCATAACAAAAACGCCTCCAATTAACGAACTTTGATCACTTTTCTTGAACCCATTGTCTACAGCATTTACTACTAGTATTGGCAAAAGGACTACAATTATTAAAGCATAAATTGTCATCACAGCAGGTCTTATCCATAACCTCCATTTGGAAATTAAACTTGAACATGACAACCCACACATTTTTCAGTTTCTGTAAAGCAGATTCTGTCTTACGTTTGAACCACAGAAGTTAAACTCTCAGAAAAAAATGATCAACACTGCTATCAGCTGATTCATAGCTCGTATATATAACAACCGCCATGTTGAAGTAAATGCACCACACGGTACTACCAACACTTGGACGCAATGCCACCAACTGCTTTCGTAACATATGAAATAAATAAAGAAGACGGAACTTGTATTTTGAGGATGAACAAATAGTTTGCACACATGTAACAGTTTTGTAAATTCTTCTTCAAGCTTCAGCACAAGAAAGAAATACTTTATGGTCCCTGTCTGTCTGTCGAATCTTTCTGCCTACAAGGTTGTGCTGCCATCTATCCGTAGCCATAAGGCTGCCCTATAACAACTCGTGAAAGACAAAATCGATTTTCATTAAATTTGGTACGGAGATTATGCCATAACAGGCTGATAGAAAATCATACTTCTTGATTTCCTGGAATTATTAATACCAACACTACGGCTACTTACATTCGTGAAGTGGGATGATGTTGATGTCAAAAGACGACGAATTTTCATGAAATTTTGCATGGATGTCATGCCACTGGAGATTGTTCTAAACACTCGATTTCAAATTTCACGCAATTGATAATGCCAGTGTGATGGTTGATGAAGTTCATGAGATTGGAACATGCCGCTATTACACATATCCTTTGCGCATTAGCATCACTAAACGCAACCAACCTAACTTCACCTCTTAACTGCATTCGTCAGCACGCATTTCATAATTAGAGAATGGCTTAATCGATTTTGATGAAATTTGGTGGTTACTTTATGTCACTGAACACATCTCCGGACTCTTATTTTCAACTGTCTTCCAACCGGTTATGCCAACGCTTCTCTTAATTGTTATAAACAGTGAATGACAAATCTGAGCCTGGAACATGTCAAAAACAATGAAGAAGATAAATAATGGATAGTTTCGGACGGGTGTAGCTGTGTCCTATATTAAGACACTATCTTAACGTTTGCCTGGGGAAGCTGAGAGAAGCCTGCAGGAAGGACAGACGGATCCGAGCCACTGAAATCGAACTCTGACCTTTCGAAAATTAAGTAAACCATCCAGCGTTTATCCAGAAATATTTGGTCATAACTCTTGCTGAATTACTTTTGTACAAACGTGCATTAATCTGAACTTAACACAGTCGAACGGTAAATAAATTATTCAATACCTAACGGTTTCCCATGTTTGTTAATCCCTGGAAGCATGATTTGGGTTTGTCCTCATTCGAAAGCATGGCTGCTCGGTTATTTATTAATGCCGAGCTAAATCGGGCAGATTTCAGCTTGGAAGGATGGAGAAGCATTTTCATTAGCAATGGTATTAATTTAAAAGCGTGCAGTACTGCCTATGGGCCGGGATAGCTCAGTCAGTATAGTGACTAGCTACGGGCTGGACGACCGGGGTTGGGTTCGATCCCCGACGGGGGCAAAGGATTTTTCCTCTAGCCTCTGCGTCCAGACCGGCTCTGGGGCCCACCCAGCCTCCTCTACAATGGGTACCCGGGTCCTTTCCCGGGGGTAAAGCCGGCCGGGGCGTGATGCTGACCACTCACCCCGATCTAGTGCCGACGTCAAGAAAGAGAGGAGCTATACCTCCACTCACCCCAAACGCCTACATGGCGTATAGTGGGACAAACTTTACTTTACTTGCAGTACTGCCTATTTCAAACTTCGTAATTCTTGTGCAGAAATGTATGCAGATTTTACGGCACACATTCATGGTCTAAACAATGGAAAATTAGACAAAACACGCAATCATCCTATTGTCGTCTACGAATTGTCAATTCTCCGTTGCAAATTGTGATAACGGTTACACGTCATGTATTGATTGTAGCATTCAACAATGGAACTCGACTATGCCAAATCAAGAAGACGGGTTAAGTTACGCCTGCGCGAACGTTATCGATGTGACCCGCACAGCACACGCGATGGCGGTAAAAACTAAAGGAGACGGGTAGCAGCAACGGGACAGAATGGTAGTGCCACTGCTTCTGGGTGTTAGTTGGGTGGTCTAACTCGTCGGGAGCAGGAGACAAAGCGCTCGCCGGCATCAAGTCTCACCTTTACAGGTCAGTTGTTTCGGAAATCTTAAATTAACCACAGCGTACATTCTGTGCGTATATTACATAAAAAAATAAGTCAAACATTTTAGAGATGTAGGGTAGTGTATTAAGAAGGGTTTAATATGCTGCACAGGTGCTTATGAGTGGAAATATAGTTAGCATTGGTGTGCTTGGAATGCTTTATGCCAAGCTAGTCAAGGAAGATACGATGCAGTTTGGAGCAAACCACATATACCATATAGCCGGTTATGGATCAGCCGGCAGGTTGAGTGGCAGTTTCACACGTGCCCTCAGTTAGGGTGACAAAGCATTTGTGTGTAACTCTTTAACTACCCGCGATACCTGGTAATGTTTTCAGAACAATTTCGAAGAAAATAGCAAAACAAAACCGAAAAGACTATAAATTAAATTAAGTTTCACATTTTGCTCTCATAAATTCTACTGTATGACATTTGTACTTTTGTTTTTAACTAGCTTAAAATATTTTTTATGACTGTTAACATTTTCAGTTATTATCTATTGGAACAGTGAAATCTGAGAGATTCTGACGTGTTGGGCATGTGACTAAGATTGGAAAGATGCATATACGACTTTGGTTGAACAATCTCTTGAAAAACGCCTAACTGGAAGACCAAGATAGATCATATATAGATATATTGTGAGGACGAGACTGGCCAAGGACCGTGTCCGTTGGAGAGCTTAGATCAGAATTTTTAATTTTATCAAATGCACTATTCTAGTTTAGGAAAGGCCATTCTCTGGGAGTGTGCATTTAAGTGAACAGGTTTCATTTACCTCAAAGCCAATAGTAGATGAATTATTAAATGACAGGTTGCAAGCTACAATGGCCATAAACGTAACTATCGGGTAATGTGAGTTAGTTTGTATAAACAGAGAGCAACTGCGGAAGCATATTGAAATTAATTTACAGAACGCGTTTGTAATGTCACAGACAAAATTGTTATCTGTATGTCATAGTTAAAGATATATTGTCGATACAGACACAGAATGCTGAAAATGATATTAATACTTTATAATACTAAATGCTACATCAAAAGCATTCAATATCAATTTGCAATATTTACCCAGCAGTTTGAATGTCGTTGTAGCTTGCTAAATTTAACGTTTACTCAACTGTGCACGAAACATCGAGACGAAAACATAGCTGTAAAATATGAACGGAGAAGGTGTGAAGGGAAATTGTCGTGGCCTATTTCACATATTATTCCCAGACTTGTCCGGGGGCTTTAGGGCGATCACGTAACATCCGTAAGGATAGCAGATCGTGCACAGTTTCAAATTCAGTCTACCGAACGGGAAAAATGCTAACTACTGCAACACAACATTCTATTTTTTCTGAAGCGCGTGTGAGGAGACTGAATAAAACTACGAAGACCTCAAAGAGAAAGTCTTAATTCGAACCTAGTAACACTCGAAGATATCGGAGCTTTACCGTCTCACATCTCGAGCTTGACAAAATGCCATATGCTGCTTAACCGTTTAAAGTACAATGGTAACTATATGTGCCACCATCTTTAACATGAAATAATTCTCAATTTTGCTTATGAAGATTATTTATGGGTTTCGTATGATTTCTAGAATAAGTAGCGATTTTTTTTAACAGCACTAACCAGTTGATTTTTGCAATTTTTATTTAGATGTGCTTCAAAAGGCTATAAACATAATTTTTACGCATTCCTCTCGGACTATTAACCATACTGACGATCTTTCTGTAATCTAAGTTGTGTCGGACTAGCAAACATCACTGCAGCAACTTTACTGCCGCGGGTTTGCGGCGGGTGGGTGATTGCCAGACGGTTCTTTCGTTGTTAGTCCAAATAATCTTCCCTCCATAACTTTCAAATATGTTACTAGCTCCTCTTCCTCAGAAGTAGAAAACACTGTCTGCTTTGCTCCTAAGGAAACTTTTATTTCCTTGTTTGGATTCTTCTTCGCACACTTAACTTTCCTTTCTAGAGTAGTTTGAGGTACCCTGAATGTGACAGATGCCTTTCTGTACCCCATATGTCCTTAAATCACCTCGTCGACAGCGCGACGCATTGCGCCTTCACTCCAACACTGACGCTGAGTTTTCCTGACATAGTTACGAACCACTGTCTAAAATGCAAATACAGCATTAAGACTGCCGTGTTAAAACTTTTATCCCAATTCATAGTAATTAGAAGACTGAAATTGTTGAAGATATTACATAATTTTCTTTCGGGTGTTATTGAATTTCGTGACATAATTCCCAATTAATATAACGGTAAAGAGAAGCTGAAGTTTATATATATGTATTACTGGATACTTGGAACGACCCGTTCTTCAAGTGCCTGAGCACTGCGGGTCCCAACCTTTCGTTGCCTTGATCTATAGACATTCGGTAAGACTCCTTGGACGAGGGATCGGCCCGTCGCAAGGCCTCTACCTGTACGCAGGACAGCACAACACAGAAAAACGCAGACAAACATCCATGGCTTGAGTGGGATTCGAACCCACGGTCCCAGCGACCAAGCGGTACAAGGCCCACGCCTCAGACCGCGCGGCCACTGCGGACCCCATATATGTACGTATTAGTAGTAGGATTCTAACAACAAATTAACAGATTAGAGCGCTTACAGGACTACGAAAATACCGTGAAGCAAGGCAGGGAACATGCAGGGTATTATGGGGTTCCCCATCATGCCCCCAGTAATTTATCAGAAACAAGTTCCTTGTTTGATGGTTATAGGATTATGAAAAGGAAAAGCACGATCCTAAAAACTAATTGTAAATCTTTTCTGGTAAAAGGTAATTCCGAGCCTACGCTTCTAATTAACCCATCAGGTGCATGCAAGTTTCAGCCTGATAAAGCTCAATTTCCGTAGTTCTCACTTGCCTCCCCTGGTCTCGGTGTGATATAGTTTGCTGAATCCCACGAGGTTTGCATAATGGAATAGTTAATTACGTCACTGTTACCGCCGTGATGTCGTAGCTGCTTCCAGTTTTGCTACACGGGTAGCAATTACAAAAAAAAAGACCATGAAGTGCACATAACTAACACATGCAATTCACCCATCTACAGTCTTTTTCATCTTCCCTTGTAGCTGGATTTGTTGCATGGATCTAGTGTTAGTATGCTTGTATCATGCAAACTTTTTTTATCCTGCATTTCGTGATCAACTACGCACAACAATTCACACATGAATTTCGTTCATGTCAGAGTAAAACTGCCTACTGAATGGCTTATAACGTACTTCTAGTATAGTATATGATCTTCTAAGTCGTGATACAGCGTGGTGTTGTAGATGGTTTCCAATAAATCGTTCGTCTTCATGTTCCACCTCCCTGATTATGTAGACAGTGAGCACCTCTGAAACGTCGGCAGATTTCAACAAGACTAAACAGCACAACATTTTAGAAGACAATCATCTTTAATATGACATTTTACCGTCGAAATAAGAGGCCTAGCTGGTACTTGAATTAGCCCTTCGAAGCCGAGTGGTAAATATATGTACCAGCTGCTTGAACAATATGTAATTCTGCGTTCTGTATTTGTGTGTTTCATATGATTCTCACTGTAAACAGCAATTATTTCCTTAAACAGCATTAATAAATTGATCCTTGTAATTGTAATGTACTGTGTTTCTTTGCTGTACGGACTGAACTTTTAAATATTATATAGAACGGTTTCGTAACCCATAAAATTGTGTTTAAGGCTAAGATTAACTTATAATTTACAAGAAAGTTTCTTACCTTAAACCACATAAAAGAAAATATCTAACAGTGATTAATAAAATGTTGAACAAGCTAAATAAAGAACGGTTGTAACTCATAGGTTTATCTTAAATGTATAAATTTATGCAATTCCTTACTGCAAATTACTGCCTTCATAGCATATGAAATTTGTGCGGAAGCTGTCGTCTGCATTCATTTTACAAATATTAACATAGTTTCTACTTGCAGTTCTGAATACCATTCATGTTTCTGTGTGCTATAAGAACGTCATTAAAGAACAGAGTTTCGTCTTCTAACAGACGTTCCTCATCTCGTCTAAGCCGTAGTCTTTGCCCTCGGGAAACGTCATATCGTTAACACGTGAAACATGGGCACAGTTAACGAGCAAGTACATCATCATCGCTGTCCCCCGGGCACTCCGCGGCTAATAAGGTTCCACCCGAAACACGGTAGCACACTTGAAGTGCTAGATGAAACGAGGAACATACTCATGGTAGCCTAAGAACAGACAGAGAAAGAGCAAATGGAGGGAGAGTTATGAGAGACATTTAAAGGGGTGGGGGAGAAAAATATTTCTCGGTTGTGAAGTTTCCCATTGGTTATATTCTTCACATAAGTAATTTATAAATTGCCACATCAGCATTTGCGTGTGTTAGAGAAGGAAAGTACAGCAGCCAAACCAACTGTACTTGTTTTGATTTAACACGCAAATTAAACCGGCACAATAACACACGTGGTACTGTAATTCACAGCAAACACAAATGTGTGACACATGTGTCAGGTAGAAGTTTATCAAATTTTCAGAGGTCCTTGCTGCCTCCAAAATCAGGGCGATGAGAATAATGTGTGCGTGGAATGAAGGCAGCAAGAACCTCGGAAATGTTGATAAACTTCTACCAGACTACACAGTGCTACAACCCAGAAGGCAGCCATCTTCGAACTAACTGTCGTGAAGACCTCAAATCATACTAAATACCTGTTACTATCCAGTTTTAAAACTGACATCAGAAATATATGACACCGAAAAGCAACGAGACATACAAAAAATCAAGTAATGTACACTTTGGAAATATATGTAATCCAAATTGGAATGGGCTTAGCACACTTTTCCACTCTTGCGTATAAATTGAATCTGTCCCACTCTTGTTTTAAGATTTCATTGTCTAAGAGATAATTTTCATTTCATTATCGTAGATAATCATCTATTTTCCTGTAACAAAGAGAAAAACTTGTTACATTACTCAAGTGGAATAAAAGTTCTGAGAACTTTCAATAAGTTTATGTCTGCTTACACTGATTTAAAAACGTGGATCAATATAAACAGACTGAGGTTGCGAGCTCTTTTGTTGTGTTGAAAATTTCCTCACTCCCTTCATGTATCTGTTGTCTCCTGCAACGGTTTCGGACATACAATTAATGGCTGCTATGATGTGGTTGAAGTTGTCCTCA